CAACACCGGCCCGTTTTTCCGGTTTGTCAGTGGTGACACGTAACAAATGCGACGCGTCAGCGGTGACCTATACGACGAAGCAACGCATTTATGGATTTTTTCCACTTTATTAGACATATTTGGACTGACGCGACTTATATGGTGGTGCGACGTGTGCGGCGGAAAATAAGGTATACAATAAAGGCCTAGCATTTCTTGAAGAAATTAATGTTACACTTGGAGACAGATCAGAACCCAAATGCAAAACCAAACTCAACAAATTAACTATAAAAAAAAAATTATTCAACAAGAAAACTTAAAGAAAAAGGCTGACGAGGCCACGCAAACGACTCACAACTGAAATCTCAAGGAAATACTCACATGAATACTAGAGACTCGAAAAGGAACCCAACATGAACATACATCGTAACACAGAGACCAAATGACACCATACTTGAAGAGACACTGACGAGGAAACACCTGGGGCGATTACTGATTGGGGACAGGGGATGGTGGCAGACTGGCTGGAAAAATACAGAGCAGGTTGATAGAGAGAGAAATGAGAAATGACACAAGAGAAACTAAGACTGTTATTTTTATATTATCTGATTTTTGTTAATATCTTGTGTGATTCGTTGTGTATGTTCCTTTGTACTGAAACTCTGGCACAACAATTTCCTGTGGGATCAATAAAGTTCTATCTTATCTTATCTTATCTTATCTTATCTTATCTTATCTTATCTTATCTTAAGACACAAGCAGCATGAAAACAACACAGATAAACACAGAGCACCGATCGTAACTCGTGTTGCCCTCATCTTCCATTCTACAGTTTAAATTCAGATCATGGGAGGAAACGTGGTGGAGGTGGAGCCCTTTTGGTCAACGCTGCATAATCACATGCAGTGCTGTGAGATCTCACAAGATGTTTTAGTGCTCAGAATATACATTGAGGATAACTCTCAACTACTATCACACCAAACTAACTCAAAATCCATAAAATGGTCTTAGTTCAGAACATTTTTAGTTTGACAAATGTCCGTTAGCTGCAGCAACCATCATGACTTCGATTCAGTGATTACTTACCGATAGTTTTAAGACGTAAAGAAATTGCTCCATCTTCATGCGAGTTTGCTCACAAAGGCGGCTTAAAAACTTTCTGAAGGTGTGGCTAAAGTCCATTTTGTGGTTATTTTGCTAACAGACAAACAGGGTTGACACCAATAGTTAATACCAAAGTTTTAAGCAAACATCTCACAATATGTGTAGATCTCTAACAGTGCTAGGAATGATGCTCAGCTACTACCACACACAATTTTACCCAAACCTTTGTTAAATTGGCTAAGGCACAGTGAGTTTTGCTTTTCCTAAGGTCACTTCATCTTGATTTGGTTTGACACCAAAAGATATTCAGTCATAGATGGACCTTCACTGATTGCTTTTTGGGAGTTTCATTTAAATCTATCCAGTGATTCATGAGATTTTTTGCTAACATGACAGACCAACAAACTTAGACACTGGCAAGACATAATTGCCTTTATACTTTTGGCAGCTGGCAATAAAAGTCCTCCTTGATATAAACATAATCACAATTTTGGAAAAAAAAATCCAAATAGAAGCCTGATAAAACGTTTTGTTATATTTGGTAATTTTAAATTAAAAGATGCAAAGATAAACACAGTTGACAAATGTATTTTTGCTTCAACAAGGTGAGATGTAAATGTTACATATCGTGACATGCTGGGCTGTTGGTTCTTCAACAAATGTGAACAGGTGGTGGAAATTTAAAAAAAAAATGCCTGTCCTAAATAAAAACTGTCTGCACACTACAACCCCAACTACACAACAGAGAGGAATAAACATGTTAATAAATGCCTAAAGTCCCAACAGAACATTACGCCTGAAAGGGTGTGCACTGCAAAGTGAAGACCTTCAGAAACTGACAAAAATATTGGTCTTAAACAATGAAGTCTGGGCGGGCTGTTTCAGCACCTTCGGGATTTCTATGGATTTGTGGGAGAGAGGTTTTTAAAGTGGAGGGGTCCTCCCTCTGGCTGCTACTTGGCAGCTTCAGGATTTCCTGTTAGACAAGAGATCTGAAGCCACCAGAAAGGAACAACAGTGAACTTGAGCTCATAGCACAACTTCTTTACTTTGGTCTGTACTTCAGAACAATTGCATGGTTGAAAAGACCAAATGAGTCACCAAGACTGCATTTCCACTACTGGGTTTATTTTATGGGGAAACAAACTGTCAGCACACCATCCAGTGTAGCGTTTATGGAGCACACATTATTATTAAAACCATTTAAACCATTAAAATGAATGTGCAGGTGTGTCCAGTTTAAATGTGGGCAATAATCGTGTGCACAGAGAGAAGTATGCATAAACTGTCTCCTGTAATGTTTTTGTATCTTGCATCCCCTGATGGCAGAGTGTGGGACTGCCTGTGCAACAGCTGCTTTGGCTATTTTTCACTTTTTAAATGAAAGCATTAGTTGACATCCAGCTATCTCTGGGAGAATGACTCATCTTTAGAAAAATCACTGCTATAATATAATGAAGGTTATAAAAAAAACTGAACTCAAATGTATTTAAATGAACAACACAAAAGGCTAAATGTACCAAATAACATCTGCTTAAATGATCTGCAGCAGCTGGATGTATGTCCTGGTTCACATCACATCAAATATGTCTGTCGCTGCAGCAGACGGCTTAAAAAATGAGTGAAATAAAAAGATGAAAGTCACAGCCAGGCTACAAAGTTGTTTTTTTAATAGCATTAAAGGAGGTTGTGATCACTTCTGTTTGAATAATTTGTCTCATTGTTCAAGAGGAAACAGAAACAACCGATGGACAGTTCACAGTTCTGTGTTTTAATAGATGGGTTTCTGTAGTCAGCATACAGCGTGCAAGCATGAAGAGACAAAACTGGTTAGTATTTTGTGGAGCTGCCATTAAAAAACAGCTTCAAAACATGTTGGTCTCAGGACATAAACTGCACCTTGCAAAAGTATTCATCCCTCCTGGTATCAATTTTTCTGTCCTACAAACCTGGGAGCAACATTTGTCCAAAAGTACCCTAGATTAATTAAGTTAAATGGTTAAATATCATATGCTGTCATATTTCAAGGTTCAGTGTGACTTTATTGTCTTTCACATCACATGGTACATGAGATGGAATAGAATTCTTTACTCAAGATCCCCCTTGCACCCAAATATAGCAAAAATATAAGCATAAAAAGAAACATACAAGGATCTAAGATTTACGCTAAACATTAATAATGTAAAATAATACGGTGCATTAAACAGCAGCCTGAACATGAGTCTGTTGTGAGCAGATGGGTATGAATACAGCAGCTTAAGATAAGAAATCAGCAGCATGAATAATCAGCAGCACAGTGACATATCTCCAGTTAAAGTGGTATTACAGTGATTTTTCATTCTTTTTTTAAATTTTTACATTGGTTATCCTGGTGGGCAGCACGGTGGCACAACTGGTAGAGCTGATGCCTCTCAGTGAGCAGGTTTCCCTGGTTCAAATCCTGGTCTGGGGTTCTTTCTGGGTGTTTTGTATGTTCTCTCAGTGCATGCATGGGTTTTCTTCTGGTACTCCGATTTCCTCCCACAGACCAAATATTAAGCTGATTGGTAACTCTAAATGGTCTCTAGGTGTGAGTGAGAGAGTAAGTGGTTGTCTCATTTGTCTCCATATGTCCCTGTGATGGACTGGAGACTGCCCCCTGCTTTTTGCACAGTGATGGCTGGACATGGGCACCAGTGACCCCCACAACCCCCAAAGAACAAAAGAAACAAAAAAGGAAGAAGCGGGTAAAAGATAATTATGGTTGTCCTAGTTAGGGATTCATGAGTCTAACAGCCTCAAGGTAGAAGCTTTTCCTCAATCTAATGGTTCATGGTTCTACACTTAATGCTCCGCAACCTCCTGCCTGAGGGGAGTGAGGCAAAAAGTGTGTGCTGGGTGAGTGGGGTCCTTCATGATGCAGGTGGCCCTCTTCTTGTATCTGGAGGTGTAGATGTCTGTGATTTCAGCGTGCCTCAGCCACCTGAGGAAGTAGTCTCTGATGAGCTTTCTTGATCAGGCTGGTAGTGTTGCCCCAGCTGAGGTTGTTATTCGGGTACCCAAGTACTTGTAGCTGAAGACCACTTCCACCACAGATCCTCCTATGTTCAGGCAGCCGAGGGGGTGTAGGTGTGTTTGCTCCAGTGCTCCTTAGTCTTATTCACATTGATGTGAAGGTTGCTGTTCCTGCACCAGCTCTCCAGGTGTTCCACCTCCTGCCTGTAGCTGGACTCGTTGTGTTGCATCCAACCACCGCTGTATCGTCTGCAAACTTTACAATATGGCAACCTGGACGAGTAGGTGCAGTCATATGTTTCAAACATATGTGTGTGTATTTATAAACTGAAAAGTTGCACATGCTTATACTTTTCAGCCTCTTTCCTTTGAACCTTCTATCACCTTCCAGCTGGTCAATGACCATGACCATCCTGGAAGGGTCGAGTTGAAGCCCAGACCTTAATCCAACTGAGTTTGATTTAAAGATGCTGTGCACAAGCAGCAGCCATTCAACCTGAAGGACCTGGAGCAGTTCTATCATGAAGGATGAACAAAAGTTTGAGTAGCTCAGAAACGGACTCTTAGAAATGCAACTATAAATACATGCTGCAATTACTGCTACAAAAAGGTAGGACACTTACTTAAGAGTAAATTAATTATATGTCAGACTTTCTTAAAAAAAAAAAAAAGGCAGTAATATTTTCATGGAGCATCTTTAGTTTGATCGGGGCTTCTACGTATTCCTTACTGAATTTGCAACACATAAGCAACTTTTGAAGAGAGTCACATCACTGCATAAAGTTTCTCCAGTACCTAAGACCTTATTTTATTTACTGTATATATTTTGTTTCTTTTTAAACAGTCAGTGTGTATAAATTACAATTTTGTACATTTTATAACCCTGTTTAATTATAAAACAAAAGATGAAGCCAGCCCATCAGTTATTTGTAAAATACATTTAATCCCTTTATATTTGGGTAAATCAAAGTCCACAAGGGTAAAGAGAGGCTGAGCTTTATGTGGCAGTGGTCCTGAGGGAAGAATGCCAATTAGAAAAACAGAATATTAAACAGAAAGTGTTTTATTATTATCGTTTTGGGAAAAACTCAGGGGGTGCTCTCATCACCGGTGCAACTAGATGCTGGATTTTTGTCCCCCTCCAATAATTTGAATGATCTTTGGAGAAAATTAGCTAGTGTGACGAAGGTTGGACTTCCCATCATTTGGCACTGCCACTAAATCGTCCTCCCTTTCCAGACTTGTTTGACGTACCAGACAAAGATATCACAATACAAAGAGATAAAAGGCATACATTGTTTCTCTACAACCTTCATTAGCTTCATTAGTACAATACGACACACGTCCGCTGACTCTTCAGTTTCCGTGTGAGCGGTTAACAAGGCAAAGTTTAAACTGGTTGACAAAAAGGCTAAGACTACATGGGAAGGTTCAAAGCTTCAGTGATCTGTTGGGTGGTTTCCATGATGGGCTAGAGCACTGAAGAGGTGAGAAGCTTTGTTTGTTAGCGACAGATGGATTTTTGAAGAATTGAAACTTAGACAAAAAAAAAAAAACGGAACGTGAACCCAGCTGCATCTGCTGTGATGTACACACCAATAAATTTGATTTGGTTGTCCTGACGCATACTCAATAATCCTTTGGTTGTATTTGTTCCAAGCCAAAGCAACATCTATGAAACATATAAGTGGTTCTAAGAAGGTTTCATGAATTACTGATGGGCGTCAGTCCCGTCTGGACCCTCTGCTGAGAACAGCATGGTGAATGGACAGTTAATAGGCAGTGGAGTCAGATGGGGGCAGTACAACATCAGAACTGTATCAGATAAGAGGACTGGACAGCACCAGACAAAGACACCCAGATTCAGAACAACAAAACGATGCTCCACCTACTTTTACAAATGGGACCAAATCCAATTTATTCCCTGGGTTCTACCCTGTCGTTTAGCGAGATAAGTGGGCTTTTCTTTCAGGACCCAGAGAATACTGGCTTTGTAGCCACAGAAACTGCTTCTGACGGAGGGTGAGACGACCATTGATCCTTCAGAGAAAAAGGACACTTTATCCTTGCAAGACAAAAGGCCAAATGGCAGAACCAAAGGTGAGGGAGTGAGCCATGCTGCAGGCTGGAGTGTCACCAAATTTCATCTCAAGAGAAACCGGATATACCAGGAATCAACCTGAGACAGTCCACTGATGAGTAAACAGCCAAGTTTGTTGGATAATACACAAAAAATGAATGCATAGACTTCATGACATTAAGTGCCATCTTATGATGCAGTTCAGCTGAATGATTCAGTGGTAATCAAGTGGCCTTCATCACTACATACAGATGCATTGAAAACACGATGTATGAACAACTTGTCAAACAAATAACCACATAGATGGGAGGGACTGATTTGACACGGCAGCTTTAAAAGAACAGATAACAGGATTAAGTTCAATCAGTTCTTCATATCTTCACCGTTCAGAGTGCATTAAATGATGACAAAAAAATCCTTACAGATGAAATTGTTAAAAAAATATACAGTAATAGTCAGCATTTAGGTTTAACTGACACTTTTTCAGGAGATCTGGAAATATTTCTTGCAATGTTCTTTGGCACTGACGTTAAAAAAGAAGTGGGACGAAAAACTGGTCTTATGGCTTCAGCATCGACGAGGCGAAAGAGAAACCGGGTGAGGGTCGGATGACAAGCTGGCAGCAGAGGGGAGCAGAAACTCAAGGTAGGTTACAGAAAATCTGCCATCGAACGCCAAACCAGTGTTTAAACTGGTGGCCATGCAGACCACATACAAGGTTCCACTTCAAAGGAGGATGTAAAAACACCATCGGATTTTGGACGATCTTTGCAAGGTCTTGGCGAGATCTTTAGTGGTATATTAGGAACGCACTGGGCTCCTCATTTTGCACGATTGATCAGTAAGTTTTGAGCATGCTGCAGCAGAGTCGTGGTGGTTTATCATCGTGGTGGCAGCGTGTCCATGACATGTGGCTTCATCAGTGAATTTCAAGCAGAGCATAATTCTGAAGACCATGACTGAAATAAACCAATGAAACCAACGTGGCACAGATGTAATACCCATAGTAGTAGCATCACATCAGCATGTCTCCTGACTCAGTCTGAGAGTTGTGTCAGGACAAGCACTAAAAGCATAGCAATGTCACAACTGTCCTAACACTGAAGGTTTTCCAAACTTGAACATAATGGAGTCGCCATCCAAAGTGAAGGCGGCTTTAACGTCAAAGACAACATCCAAGTGTTATCCAGGAATTCCACTCTGCAGGCAACAAAACAGGGCAGGCCTCTTTAGGTAAAATCATTCAGAGCTTTCTTAGTTATCAAATGGTCTCCACTTAACTTCACAAAATCTATGACCATCAAACTGACCAAAGCGAACAGTACAGTGTTCTTTAAATCATCGCGACAAACTCTGGACCGAATCCACCCGAAAACCTAACTAATATTTGGAAACATCCTTGATCACTGACTTTGCCACCAGCTTCTGAGATCAACTAGATTCATGCAGACGTCACATAGCTACATGGACATAGGCAACAAGATGTGTGCGTGCGTCTGTTTGCCACTCTGGGTGGCTACTATGTCAGTGAGGCCGACCCCTTTATTTCACTAGTGCCGGTCACATACACCCATAACGGATTCAGCCTAAAGCAAGACAAGCAGGTTAATACAGAGAAAATACTGGATAAAGATTTCATGTGATACAATATCCATGCTCGGGCAGACAAAGCACTGTCAACATATACTTATATACAGTTTATACATAAAACAGTGAAATAAATCCATAAAACCAAGAATGTAATAGCATGTCCATAGGCAAGAAGGCAGTAAAAACCAACCACTGAAGAATTACAGCACCTCGACTGGTGAGTGTAACCAATGAGTGATAAAAAATCTACATACCATGTGAGGATAGGGCTGATAGAATACATATGACAGCATCTGTGACTAACAAAATTAACAGTGTAATAAAGTTATTCTTTCTTTTCATTCAGGATGGTTTATAAGATCCTAAAAAGCTGACTAAATCCAGCAAGCACTATATGTGATAATTCCATGTAATATAAGAAAAACAATAGACACGGAGACTGTGAGGTCATCCTTCCATCCACTCAGTCTCATCAGTACACAGGGCTGTTGCGGATCCCGCAGCACAACACCATGCTGAAAATCATCTCAAAGATCTGTCAAGATGAACACAAACACACATTAGATTAGTCTTATTCTTGTCAACACTATGCACTGTACTCATATTTTAAAGTTACAGCAGTAACAGTAAGGAGGGTTCTAAAATACTGCATTTTCTTTAGATTTTCAAACTTTTTGCAATAATTTCTATTCAAATCAAGACAGTAGTACAAAATAAATAACTTTCAGAATCCTCAATCCTCAACTTGATTATGTTCAATATAAATAAATCTCTTTGATGACAGTAAAAAAGTTGGGGAAAAAGCAAAAAAATAAAACAATTAAAGTTTATAAAATATGCTAGTAATATTAGCATTCTGTACGATTTTGTATTACGCAGAGTTTTACAGCAGGTGAAGAGTTCATTGAGTACAAAAGGAGCATCCACCAGTAGTGTTTAACTGAAAACAACATTATGTTGCTGAAACACAGCTGTAGCACAGCTGTAACATGTGATATGTGCAGCTTCATGTTCTCACCATAATGACTGCAACCACCAGCGCTGCGATTCCAATCAGATGAATCTTATCTGAGAACAGGTCGTTGATCCTCTTGTGGCAACTCTGTTAAGAGAAAACACCAAAACATTAACGTTTTAATCACAATACAGTATAGACCAGGGCTATTAAACAAAACTGCTCAGGGGGCCACAGTTTTTGAAAGGCAGCAGCTCAGGAGCTGGACATCCAGCAATTAAAGTCATTCTGTAAATAAACCAAGTATTACAATGATCTGTTACCTTTTAAGTTAGTTTTATTTCATTGAATTATAAATGCAATACACCAAACCAAAAACCCAAGACCCCCCCCAAAATAAAATAAAATAAAAAATAAAATAAAATGATGACGTCTTGGTGGGTCTGGGTCGGATTGAAGTCACCCACAGGCCATCGCCCTGGTATAGACTCTTTAATTTAGCACTCACTTTGCTTTTTATTGTCACCACATGGTCAGTTGTGACCAGGTTGATGTATTTTTTAGGGATGCACCGATCCACTTTTTTTACTTCCAATCCGATCCTGATACCTAGAACTGAGTATCGACCGATACCGATCCAGTTCCGATATCATGATCATCATTGATTTTATATGAGGCTGTAATAATCTCCTCTCAAGTACAATTTGTACAAATATATGCATGCATGTCCAAAAAGGCAACTTGAGGTAAGTTTTATTAATGTTGGATAAGTTTTAAAGTTAGAATTAAATTCTGCTCACACAAAACATGTTTCTTTTTATTCCTAGCTTTAAAGTGGATATTAAAGTGATTAATTTAAGTGATTGTTTAAAGTTGTTTTATATTTTATAAGGGGCAGATATAATAAATTTTTTCTTCTTTCTGCACTCTTTTCACACAGTGTTGCACAATGTTGTCTTTTTGATGATTTTTTTATTTATTTTGTTTCATTTAAATGAATGAATAAATGAATTAAATTAAATTAAATGTTAAATGGCTTCAAACATCTGCTAAGTTCATGGCATAAACCAACACACATGTTCCTGTTTTTAGTATTTTACATCACTTTATAATGTAGCTGTTTATCTTTTTAATATATATATACAGTAATTTTCAAATCATATGTTTTTTATGATTGTCTACTGTTGTACTGATAAATATCTCCTGGAGGGTAAACTATATCTTGACTGCAAGTATCAAACTGTGAAATCCTTCATTTTCTACAGCTGATAGTGGTTGGTCATTAATTATGATGAAGTTTAGTAACTTCTCTGTAAACATTTGAGCTCCGTGGCTTCATCGATGTCTTCTTCTTGTTCAATCCGAAGCAGGCAGCCTGATTTGGGGCAGCCACGCTCAGTCTGTCCCTCCTCAGAGACGGGCAGACTGAGCGGGGCAGATTGGACGCGGCTGGCCGGGGTGGAGTCGCCTCTTTCGGTTGAGCAAAGAGTTGTGCCCCGCTGAAGCCACGGAGCTCGAATGTCCAACGTAAAACTAACTTTACCGTGGTTTAATGTGGTGCTATGGCTCTGCAGACATTGCACGTTGCTGTCTTGTTTTGTGGTGTTTCTAGTGTAAAATACTTCCACACAGCGGACATGTTTCGATGAAAAGTTGGTTAGCTGTTAGCCACAGTGCTGCTAACTCAGTCCTCATGTTGTAGCTGGCTGCAAACTATGAACTGGATTTCCTGAATGTGAGGCGGGTCTTATTACTCTGGGTTCATGAGACACGCCGCCGTTCAGGAAATCCATTCCATAGTTTGAAGCCAACGTGCATCATGGATCGGAAATATCGGCAGGTGGATCGGAAAATCCGATACGTAAATTATGCTGGTATCGGAGGTTGATACCAATACTGGATCGGATCGGCCCCATCCCTAGTATTTTTAACGGGGAACAAATTGAAAGAATATGTAAATGTTAGATAACGGTGCTCCCACTTAGGCCTGTCACGATAACAAATTTTGCTGGGCAATTAATTGTCTCAGAAATTATTGCGATAAACGATAATATTGTTTGAAATTGGGCAATAATTAGTCATTATTGTCAAATTAAAAAAAGAGAAATGTTTGTTCATTTGTTTTGCATGTAGTATCTTTTTTCGACCACCGAATGGCAGTATGACTGTTTGAACCGAAGGATGGATAGTGAGGGAGAGCAGCGTGTCTCTACGAAAAATAGGAGGGAGGCTCCTTGACATGACATGGGCTGTCTCTCTTTGGTTCTAAACATGGCGGACGCTCAGTGATTTGAGCTCTTTAGCATAGCATTTTTCACACAAAGCTTTTAATAAAAAACAGTAAACAAGTTGTCAGCTTGACAAAGTTCATCCTCAATCATCCAGGTACCAAATCCAATAATTCTCAGTCGGGTCATCTGGACAGTTTCTTTATTATAGAGACGTTTCGCCCTCTATCCGGAGAGCTTCTTTTTGCAGAGAAAAACAACTTTTTACACACAGACACAGGTTTCAACCGTGAAATTTGGAGCTTTCACAAGACGGAGGTTTTTTCCCAGGTCGGCCTGTTAGCTTAGCTTGTAGCTTAGCTGCTTTTAACGATCCAAAAACACGATTTTGGATCGTTAAAATGGATTTTAAAAGGAAAAGAGAAACTGAGGGGGTCAGTGAAGAGCATTGGAGTGGAGCCTTTTGTCATTCAGTGTCTTCAGTAGGAACAGAGAGACGAAGAAACGATAAAGCCGATAAATGAAAATGAGTTTGATAATTTTCATTTATCATGCGATTAATTGATTCATTGTTTATCGCGACAGGCCTATTCCCACTTTAACTTGGTGTGCGTTCAACATTAATCTGGCAGGAATACTGAGAGAAAGGCTGCTGTAGCTTATGTGTGCTACCAGTGCAGCATCATATATAACATTTGGCAGCACGATGGATCAGTGGTTAGCACTGTTGCCTCACAGCAAGAAGGTCCTGGGTTCAATCCCTGGATGGACCTGGGGTCTTTCTGTGCGGAGTTTGCATGTTCTACTCGTGCTTGCGTGGGTTTTCTCCGGGTTCTCCGGTTTCCTCCCACAGAACAAAAAACACGCAGGTTAGGCTACCTTTAGGTCCAGGCCTCCCTTGCAAAAGAGATCTGTGATCTCAATTGGATTTGCCTGGTTAAATAAAGCTTAATAATAAATTATGATGCATTCAGAATCTTCATGTCGTCTGTGACAGGTTTACTCAGTGTTCAGGTATGAAGTGAGCAGCTATGGGCAATACATCTGCTGCTGTACTGATAAAGAGACTATAAAACAATAAATTGTTTCCTATCTGGATATTACTATTTTAAAATAATCTATAATTCCATATTTACAGTAAAGCAGTTCATAGAATCAGCCCAAGAGCTGCTGAAAATGCTGAGGTGGGTAACAGCACCTACCATTGTTGACCAATCGTTGGGGCAGGCGTCAGATGTCAGTCGTGTAAAAATTGCGCTCCCTGTGCCCTTACCGCAGCATTGGAGCTGAAACACAAAAACAACACAGATGAACAGACATTAGTGCACAGAAGGCTAAAAGCACGAGCATTCAGACCAGGAAGAAAACACAACACTGCACACTGCTGCCAGTCATCTCACCTGTCTCACCTGTTCTGCATGACAGGGTGGTCAGTGTGTGTGTGTAGTCAGTGTGTGCCTTAACTGGGATGCCAAGATGAGGGACAACCTCTGACTGCTCAGTAACAACAGCAGTGACCATCATAAAGTTAAAAAACAGGATTGCTTCATGGCATTCTTTATCTTAGCTCTACTCAGAATTGTCTTAAGTCTGTACGTGAGACATTTCTGTGAAACATGTCTTTCTTCTGTTTAAGAGGTTGTTTTGTATTGTTTTATATAAATACATATAACTTGAGTTCTGTTGCAGTATTTGCTCATACCGTCTCATGGAAGACCTTGAGCACTTGTGCAACAGCCGTCTTTTTCTCCTGCTGAAGGTTCTCCAATGTGGCCTGATTGTAGACAGAGTCGTAGAAGTTCTTCATCTCCTGTGAAACCTGTGGAGGAAACGCATCAGAACCGGCTTTATTGTAGGACCTGAGGTTCACCTCCGATCTGTCAGCAAACAGAAAAATGCTGGATTTGAGCTAATTCTGAAAACCACAAATAAATAACATCATTTTGTGAACAACTATTATATTTTAACTAGTTTTAGTATGATGAAAAATCTAAGAAAAACCAAAAAGGGGTGAAAATAGTTTTGTGGTGAATGAAGCCGTTTGTAGTTTTTACCTTCCTTTTATCATTAAGAACAATTCCTCTATTGTTATGCTCAACAGGGCTGGGCAGTATCCATCTAGTTAATATTGTTAATTTTATATATTTTACTGGCAGCAATTTAAGACATTATAAACATGTTTGGTACAATGTAAACTAGGGATGCACAATATTATCGGCATGTTATTGGTATCGGCCAATATATCGGACATTGGCCATTCCATCAAAACAACTCACCAATATAAAAGGCGTTTTTTTTGTTAATAGATAATATATTTATATAGTGTTACATCATTTTCAGCCCCCTTTTTGGCATCTGCATTTGGTAGCAGGCCAAACTGACAAAGACCATGCAGAATAACGTAGTATTTTAATTGCACAGCAGAGAAAGCTATGCCGTCTCTGTAAGTAGGTCTAAGCTGGGGGGGAAATATCGGTTTTGATATCGGTTATTGGCCAAATAAGTTTTAACATATCGGATATCAACTAAAATCCAATTTTTTTATTGTGCATCCCTAATCTAAACACATTTTCATAAATTTAAAAGGTGACAGACAGGTATATTTTAATCATCACTGGAATAAAATGATTTACACAACAAATAGGTAGATCTATCTGCACTGTTGGTGTCAAAGCTGTCTGGTTATTCTGAACTGTGCTACATGTTTCCACTTACAGTTTCTCTGTGCATGTAACCCCAGATTCCAGCTGCAACTTCACAGGCGAACAGGATGACCAGGCAGACAAAGAACTAGAGAAGAGAGACAGAGGAAAAAAAAGATAAACTGTTTATTTAAAGTTCAAGATTTACTTTGGCTCAGTGTGATAGCTGGCTTTACAAGGCTTGAAGATGAACCTGTGTGTCAAAAATCTATTTATATTTAACCCGACTTACTGAATTCAGCTGTGTGTATTCTTGAGCTGTGAAGCGGCTTGTCTTAACAAACGCAGGACTGTGCACTGACTCACGCAGGAGACAAATTCAACCTCACTGTACAACTAGATGTCTAAAACTCCCGAGAGCTTAAAAGGGAGAGCTCACCGTTCCCAACAAACACTGGGACTCTTGAATGGCCCCGTAACACCCGAGGAAACCGACCACCATCATCACGGCTCCAACTGCAATCAGAATGTGGACACCTGGACAAACAAGACAGGACAGATTTAATGGAATATGTTTGACAACACATACACAGTAACAGCAGGGATATGGTGTAGCTACAATCTGAAGGGGAACAAAAATATTTATTCTTTAATTCTTTTATTCTTTACGTGGCATACGTGCAGTAGAACCTGTTAAACAGCAGGTGATGCTGTTTGGCTTTTGTGCCTGAAGGGAAAAATGTCACCATACATTTTCATCCACGTTTAGTTTTTCTTTCATACCGTTCTGCTGCATAGTAAACCACTGTACCTGTTACAATAATATAAAACAAGCTGTAAGACTTTTGTTATGGCCCTTGCAGCCTCAGTAGGGATTTTATGTATTTCCTGTAATATGAGTTGTGTTTATTTGAAATAATGGACGACCTAGGGCTTGTAGCATGTAAAGGATGATTTTAATACCGTCTCGTCAGGGCTGGTGTTCTTTTCTCTGACAATTCACTCTTTAGTGGTGTGGTTTTAAACGCTGAAGCTGTTTTTTAGATGGCAAAGATTGATTTATAAGGTTTGCTTGGAGTAGGCATTAGTTGCTTGTCAATATGGTCCAAACAAACCCCACTTTCAAAGCAGAATTAGACTCCACAAGCTTCAAGTTTTCATTGCGGTTTATGCAAATGATTCTTTATAAACATTTACACTGTTGCCAGTTTCCCATTACAGACGTATTCCACGAAATAAATTGTGAAATTTCTGCCAGAAATGACTCACTGCTGCCGTTATTTGCACTTGCAAATAACCACAACTTCTATGCAAATACTGATGAACTGCAGAATTGACGGCAGTATGAAGAACTATAAAATAGTATTTGCATCAACCATTATAAATGTTGGGGATGGAAGCTGTGTTAAGACAGCAGGAATCCACTGGTCTTGGCTGCGTTCCCTAAAAGTATCCTTAAGAGGCCCCTTTACCTCTCTGACATCAGCACTGAGTAAAATGACCAATCATAAAAGAATTCAGATCGTTATTCTCAACAAACGATCTTACTTTATTTCCTGCAATGAGCATCCAGGATGCTGCAAAACTCTTATACAATGTGTTTAAGGGAAGGGTGGAAGCCTCTGTTCTTCTACTACATCAGATTGAGAACATGACAAAACAGAAAGTGGAAGTCAGTCAATTAATAAAACAAGGAGAAACGACTCAATTTCAAAATGTGAATCCTGGTGTACATTTTCCAGAAGATCTCTCCAAGAAGGCCCTAATGGTGCTATGCAGGGTGGTATACAGATGTTCAGAACAATTGAGATGAAAGGGATAAACATCCACTGTGACTGCTAGTGTTCTGACAATAAAATTATCAAAGCTGCACTTTCTTCAGAGTCAAATACAGATTTAGGCTTTTTCATGTTTTACACCCAAAGCATCTCCTTCTCCACTTACAGACCATTCCCTTCGGGATTAATAAAGTAATTTGAATTGAATAATATCCTGACACATGCATAGTGCACTGCATCTGAGGAAAACAAAACAAAACAGGGTGGTCTAGATGAGCTTGGAGGAGATGAAGAAGGAGATGGATCTTGGTCGGCTGCAGTGAAGAGATGCCGCTTCATCTATAAGATGAGGAGGACCACTGTCGCTACGACAACACCTGCTTAAAAGTAGCAGGCTAGTGAGCTTACTGGTGAATTGTGTGAGCAGCAGTAAATAAAAGTTTTAAAATAAAAAATTTTCCTATAAAAAACTAGCAAATATCCTCAGATCTATTATTATAATATTGTCAAATAACTCTTACATTGTTTCATGATTCTCATGTGCATATTTATGCTGGTGATACAATCATCTATACATCCAGTCCCTAACTGACTACTGCTCTGTCTTCATTGCAGGCTAGCTTCACTTCGATTCAACAGGCATTCACTAGTCTACATCTGGTTTTGAACAGACAAAACTAAATATCAACTTTCCGCAAGTCGAGCGCCAATTTGAAATTTCTTCCTTGAATGTTATTGAGATCGATTTTGTCAAAAGCTATAAGTATCTCTGTATCTAGCTTGACAACTAACTCACATATGAAACACGTAAATGTCCTGCTGTCAAAGGTTAAATCCTGCTTTGGCTTGCTTTAACGCAATGAATCTTCCTTCACACACTCTGCCAAACAGTGCTTCCAGTCCTGGATGACGGTGATGTGGTTTACAGGTCTGCCTCCAAAACTCCTTCACAAACTGGATGTTATCCATTACACTGACATCCGGTTTGTAACTGGAGCTTCATTTAATACACACCAGTGATCTGTACACCCTGATAAACTGTCCATCTCTTCATTCTCCCAGAAACATTTACTGGTTCTTGTTCGTTTACAAAACCCTCATTGGAAAACACGAGTTACCTACAGTCACTTCTTACTGTCCACAAACCAAATCACAGTTTGCATTCCAGTAACCTCAACAACCTCCTCACACCAACGCACGTCTGGTTGCTTCTCCTTCCAGTTCTCTGTTGCAGATGACTGGAACTATCTGCAAAGGGCCTTAAAGCTCGAATAATTTATTACGCTCTCCTCTTTTAAATGTTCATTACATTCACCAGAACAAGATCACTGCATGTGCTGTTAATACCCATCCTGTTTGTATTGTTCACAATGCTTTATTTTATTGTGTACAGTATGTTTAAATATGTTAATTTATGCCGCTTGTGTCACGTCTTCTGCTTTTATCATTGCCGTTTTATGTCCACTTGTGTTGCTGCCTCTTAACCAGGTCATTGTAAATGAGAAGTGGTTCTCAACTGACTTACGTGTTAAAATAAAAATTATAATAATGAATAAATGTTGCTACATTCTTTTCTCGTGTTCTCGACTAGGTCTCCAACTTAAAAGACAAATACACTTTCATACAAATGTTGTGTAAAACAGATGTCAGTAGGCACTGGGACATTCTCTCACACAATGGTCTTACATTTTGATAGGAATGTAGTTTAACCTGCTAAAAGACTTTTTCTTTTACAAGTAGCTACAACCTAATCAACATATTCATAATCTCATCTTGTTTGGCTATGATTCTGTGAAACAGCCTTGACCTTTGTTTGCCTTTTCGGCTCTCTACTGATATAAAATGCTTGTTGCCACAGCAGACCTGCTAATAAAGCTGCTCTAGTTTGTACAGTTTCCGGTTATAATTCAAAGATGGTGAAATGGGCTGAAAAATGTGGCTGAGAAGCAGATTACATGTTCATCCAAGATCACTATCAAAGCAGCAAGCTTTTGCTTTACTATCACAGAAATGCTAACTTTATAATCAGTAAATATTTACAGTTCTACCTCCTTGGTAGTTTCTGTTTTATGGCCTTACAACCTGGAATTTAAAGTGAATTTTAGGGGTTTGGTATTTTTCAACCATTTGAAGAAAAGAAAATAGGTTTGATGTTGGGAAAAAAACACTGCATACATACCATATCCACTACTTTTAGAACCATTTAAAACAACTGTTGTGTTTTTACACATTTACCTTCAATAATTTGGAGTATTTTTTTTTTTTTGTAATTTTATTAAATACTGTATAATTTCATTTAATTATAAATGAATTATAAAGGTTGTAAGTTGTAATAGCCACTGTTTCTTTGCACTCAAATAAAAGCAGAGTCTCATCTGGCCAAATGAACACCTTTGACAGTTGTGCCACATGTGCTGTGATGTTGGCTTCACTGATGCGTACAATGATTACAAAATGTGTTCAGTCACAGTCCACAGGCCACAAATGCACTACAAGGACATCAATACAAACAGTGACGCAAGTTCATGCATTAAGGGAAACAGCAGCTTGCCTTTTCTGAGCCGTAACAGGACGGTTGTCCTAAAACATATTAATTATAGCTCTGCCATTCCGGCTATGCTGCCTTCACTGTCTTGTCTTGATTCAGGCTTTGAGTGCTGCTCTTCATTATGAGCCTCAGCAATGTTTCTTCTGCTCATCAGCTCAGACTTATGTGCATCTCAAAAATTAGATTATCATAAAAAAGTTTGATTTTTTTGTCAACTATTTCAAAAAGTGTAACATATATAGGGGGCCGAGATAGAGTTGAGGTATGGCAGCTGACCCGGGACTATAAAGTCATGGTTCAACTCCCAGCCATTCCTGCATGTCATGGAAGCAAGACACCCAATCCCTAATTGCTCCCCAGATGCTCAATAGCTGCCCACTGCTCCACCTGGGTCTACCCCAGGTGCGATGGGTTAACTGCAGAGAACTAATTTTGTCATTGCATGGAAACATAAAATGATGACAACATAAATCACTTATACTTATATATTACATAAATTCATTACAGAGTGAAAAATTTCAAGCCTTTAATTCTTGTAATTTTGATGATTAAGCTTAAAAATAATGAAAAACCAAAACTCAGTTCCTTATAAAATTAGAATATTCCACAGCCAGCTTTTGGTTCTTTTGTCAGTGTGGGCAGGAGCCAAGTCCTGCTGGAAAATTAAACCAGCATCTCCATAAAGCTGGTCTACAGAAGGAAGGATGAAGTGCTCATAAATGTACTGTACATGTTGCGATGACTGTAGACTTCAGAAAACACAGTGGACCAACAGCAGCAGGGGACACGGCTCCAAATCATCAGTGATGTCATCTCTGGTTCAGGAGTGGCTCGACTTGAGGACTGAGACATTTGCAGTTCATGTCCAGGAGTTAATCAGCTGATTAGGGTGTGACACCAGGAGCATATTGAACCTTTTCACAATAGTTTTCTGAGACACAGAGTCATGTTTTATCATTGTTTGTAAGCCATAATCATCATAATTACAAGAAATAAAAGCTTGCAATATTTCACTCTATGCGTAATGAATCTAATATGAGTTTGAGTTTCACTTTCTGAAACGACTGACAAAAAAACCCTTTTTCACAATATTCTAATTTTTGGAGATGCACCTGTAATTTGATCCCACACCACTAAACAGTGCTGTACTTTGTTTACCCCATCTCCCACATCATCCCCACTGACTGAGCCACACAAGTACTGGTAATTTA